ATTCACACAGAAGAATTGGAATATAATATTATATCATGAAAATTCACATAGAAGATTCAAGATATAAGTAATATAAATTAAAATAGAATTCATACAGAAAACTAAATCAAAAACAGACAAGAGATTATGTTAAAAACTTATTCTTTATTCTTATATTCATTGTTGTTAAAATTACAGAACAGATATAGTATATTTAAATAATAAATTAATGTTACATAAAATTAATAATAAGATGAATAAATTAATAATAGAAAATACTTATATGGTAGTACCTCCAGAAGATGCTTATTAATAAATAAATAAAGAAATAAATGATTATAAATGAAATATATAAATTTAGTAATACACTAACTAAATTAGTAAAATAAGAGAAAAGAGAAATTCTACTAAAAAACTATCTATAGTTAAAATAACTTAAATAAATTGGATGACTTTTCTTGGTATGATTAGATAATTATAATACAGTAAGTTACATGTGATGCAGTATATGACACAGCAATAATCTGTGAGATAAAAGATAAATATAATATAATTATTATTAACTACTCTAATTTTGTTATATTAATATTATATAATTATCAAGATTAACTCTTAAAAATAATTTGAATAATTTATTTAAGTTTTTTAAAAAAATTATTAATAATTTAATTATATAAATATTTGAATAATATTTTAAATTAACTTAAATATTAATTTTAATAATTATTTATTAATAATATAAGTAATATTTCTAAAAGATATTTATTAATTTAATTAATATTAAATAAATATAAAAATAAAAATATAAATAAATAAAATTAAATATATAAAATAAGTTTAATAGCTAAAATAAATTTATTTATATTATATAATCTTTTTATAATATTCTTAATATAATATAGTAAAATAATATAAATAATTATAATTTATTAAGTTATAAAATAAAATTTTTTATATTTATTTTTTTATTATAATAGATTATATTTAATTAATATTTGTTTTTCTTATCTAAAAAATATAAGTTATTAAAAATTTTAACTTTAAATAAATTATATATTATTTTATTTAATTAAAAAATTTTAAAGTTTAGATAATAAAAAATTTTAATTTATTATTTAATATATATTTTTATTTTATTTTTAAAATTCACTTGAAAAAATAAAAAAAAATTAAGTTAATATATTTAATAATTTTTAATTTATAATTTAGTTTTTAATATTTTTTATTTTATAATTATATTCTTTTTTATTTATTTTATTTATAATTCTTTATAATATTTATAAATATTAATATTAAAAAATTTTTTAAAAAATTTTAATTATATTTAATATTATAAATAATTCAGTTTATATTTTAATTTATTATTATAAGTTATATTTTAAATAAAATTTATCTTATAAATATAGATTATAATATTATTTATAATAAAAAATATATATTTTATTAATTATAATTAATAAAAAATTTAAGTATTATATTATTTTTAATTATTTTTATATAGTTAATTCTTTATATAATAAATTAATAGCTTTATTAAAAAAAGTATTTATTATATAAAATTATTATTTTTTACAATATTTTTTTTATAATAAATTAATAAGAAGATTTAAAAATTTTTTAAGTTTATTATATTAAGAATTTATTATTATAAAATATTTTTTATATAATAATAATTATAAAAATTTTTAACAAATTAATAAATATTTTTTATTTTTAATTCAAAAAATATTTAAAAATTTTCTAGTTTAATATATGATTTTTTCAAATTTTTATTAGAAATTTATTTAAATTTTATATAAAATTAATTAATTTTTACTAATTATTAATTAATAAAAATTAATTATTTTTATATATAATATGAATAAGTTTCTGATTAAAATCTGAAAAAAATATATATTAAATTAAAGAATTTTTAATTATTTTTTAAATTAAAAATATTTATTAATAAAATTAAAAAATTTTATATAAAGAAAAAATATATATTTTACTAATAAAAAATTTAATTATTATATTAATTATAATTATTACTATATAAAGAATTAATTATATAAATAATATTTAGATAATTAAATAATAATTAAATTTTTATATAAATATTATTATATAATAAGAAATAAAAAAATTAACTAGTAAAAAAAGTTTATAAAATACTTCTTATAAGATTTAAGAATATTAAATAATATTATATATTAAAATAATAAAAATTTATAATTATAAAATAATTATTTATAAAATTATAATATAATATATATTTTCATATTAAATATATATAAAGAAATATTTATAATATTAACTTAATCAAATTTATTATAAAAATATTTGAAATTTATTAATTCTATTAATTTTAGATAATTTTATTAAAAATTACAAACTAAATAATTTATTTTACTAGTATTATAATTAAGAAATTAAATAGTATATTAAAAAAGAGAACTAATATTAATCTTAACTAGTATATATGTATATTTATTTATTTTAACAATTTAATTAATTTAAATATAGAAACGGATTATTCGCTCGCATAAAACGAAAGAAGCCTTACCTCAAACGAACACACGGTTGGCGTGGGCGAAAAAATACCGAACTTGGACGGCCGACGAATGGCGACGCGTAATTTGGGTTGCGTGACGGGCGACAGTGTAGGGAAAAATGAATGTGTGGAAATCCTAGTGATTTTATCTTCCAGCAAGATAATGACCCAAAACACGTCTCCGGAAAAGCAAAGCAATGGTTCGCTGACAACGAGCTAGACTGGCCATCCCAGTCTCCCGACCTAAACCCCATAAAAAATTTATGGATATGAGCAAGTGGCGTGGATTAGTGAGGTAATAAAAGCGAAGGCTGTTATATAGAATATCGAATAAGGTTAGAAGTATGTAGTACGAAAAAAATTTAGTAGGTTGTTACTTACCTTAGTCCTTAGTTAGAAATTCGCACCCCTATCTCACCCTCATAATTAGTGTAACACTAAATAAAAATAAAAAATTAGTGTAGATTCAATTAAAAGATGGGCGTAAGATATCGTCAATACTAGAGATATTGACGAATCACGTTTCTTTTGTGATCCACTGTAAATTACAATTTGGAATCATGACTTGTCATTGAGCCAATAAAATTTTTAATTTTTCTGCATGTGATTAAACCGCTTTATACTTCAGTTTCAAGACGGTTTGAAAATCGTGACTCGGTTTGAATTCAACTATAAAGCCGTCTAGACTGGCGATGTCACCAGAACCAGTTTAGAAACTTGGTCGAATTCCAAAAGTATTTATTTGAGTTTCAGATCCATTTATAATAAAATTCTTTTGATATAGTGAACTTATTAAATAAATCGTGATACATGTATTTTACTTAATAGACTGGACCATTCGTTATATCAAGAGTCACTAATTATGTCAAAATTAAGTTTTGGACTGAATCCCAAATAGTTCATAAGTTTGTCATAAGATAAAATTACATGTAAACAAGCTTTAAACTTAATACTTTAGTAAAATAACTGTATACATTGATATTTCATATCGAAATATATCAATCTGAAATGTCATTTATAAAAAATAAATGTATTGGTTGGACTTGACATTAATTTGAATGCTCTTTTTTGTGGTTTTTCATCTTGTCATCAAGTTTCGCCATTCTTGCCATTCTAATTTAAAACACCCTTTAATTTCATAGTTTGCTTTAGGAGATTCTAAAGAACTGTAGAACTGAAAATACAAAGCAATAAAATTGAAAAGTTCCTCAACAGTTGATCTGTTTTTCAATAATAAATTTGCCCCATCCGAGAATATTATTTGGTATCGTAGATATATATCATGACTCAGTTCACAACCATTCCAAAGCAATAAATATTTGCTGCAGCAGTGTATTATTTTGCCCATTTAACAGCTCTGGATGCATATAAGAAAGTTTTCCACAAATTTCTTGGTTAAATTTTGCCTGAATCTTGAATGCTAAGTTCAAATCAGCAGTTTGAGGATCGTAATGCACTAATATATTTCCAGGATGAAAAGTCACAATGTTCAAACTTTTCTTTGAGAATAATTCCAAGATTTTTGATTTTTCATTCCAAGTCAATTTTTCGTGGCTGGAATTAATATATGTACGGAGACCAATGGCATCAAACGTTTTGCAATTTTGCAAGATATTCAACGTTGGTAAATCTTCATTATTAGATTGTCGATATCTTTATCTCCGCTAGGAATTCATCGTTATAAATTCGGTTGTAATTTATGAGAAAAAATGATCAATAGTCCTTTTTTTGACATTTTATTACAATCATAATTATTGTGAACTCATCTTTACAATCGATACATTTTATTCGATTCCATTTCGATGTACATGAATTACTTGATATAAATGAGATATACAATTCGTTATATGCAGTTGACATGCTGTTTTTGATATGACCAAATGATATGGTCATTTAGTCATTTGCATGCATGATCTGAGCACTTGATTATAATCGAGAATTTTATTATAATTTGGGATTGAGACTTATATTAGGGATTGGAATTAGAACTTATATTTAGAAACTAAGTTGATAGTCAAAATATAAATAGACTGACAAACAGATGTACTATATAACCTTAAATTGATTTTTAATTTTCCAACTTTTGATCAATGGGTAATGATTCAGATCACTTCGTCGGGTTACTTTTTTCTCACGATATGCATGTACATGTATAATTCACATGATACATGAATATAAATTCACACGAGATAGACACCGTGCATGAGATAAAATGATTTTGACACAAAAAAATTATTCGCCGGAGATTTTTTGATATTCTATATATATAACCAAACTTGCTAATCCCAAATCTAACTTAATTTGTAAAGATCTAATTCCTGCGGGTCTAAATGACATGCATGTATTATAAACTATTATAAACTCTAATTGATTGATAACGATAAATGGGTAAATGGCGGATAATGAGAATTTTTATTTTTTGTTCTGATAAATAATATAAATACCACCAATTCGTCACTCAAACGAGTGAGCCAAAAATTTTTTCAATAACATGACCATTGATCAAACAAGATATGGGGTTTGCGGTGCCGATTCTTGGGTGTGTGGTTATGACTTTCTGTTTTATTTATCAAACCACCTTCAAACCAGTTAAACTTGTCTATACATATTAACCAAACTTTCTAAATTTAGGGACCGTGGGAGAAAAATGACTTTACAGACTGTTTTAGGGAAATGTATGTATTGGGAATTTTTTAATTTCTTTATTTTCTTCTGTTATTTAATAGAACCACCTTTATCTGCACTAGTGTAATCAACGCCGGAATTCCGTTGTTATATTCTATTGGCTCATTATGTATCATTATATTCGTTTACATCCGTCAAAAGCGGCAAAAGGGATTAAATTATGAACGATTACTTAATGACCAATTAAGTTCGAATTATGGATCGATTGAACAAACAGTATTGACGAGTGATGATGAAGACAATACAGATGCAATCCTCGTTAGGAATAAGATTTTCGACTACGCTCGATTATTAATTGCTTTAATCTTGTGGGGTTTATTTAGCGCTCTGGCTTTTGTGAGATTGAGGAATAATGACGAGAAGAAACATGGAGATTACTGGGTTGTCGCCCCCACTACAGAGGCTGCAGTTTGGGTAAGCAATTTGAAGGTTATTTCATACAAATTCCCTAATTTTTTATTAATCAAACTTATTCTTCTTAGATGTATGCAACTGTTTTAGCCTTGATTAACATTACATCACAACAACGCGGTATACTTCATGTTCGCGGGCACATGGACATATTAAACCTCCTCGTCTTTACTTCCTCCTTGCTCAATCTTCGTTCTTTATATTTAAAGTTCCAAACAGAAGTCACGACTGAATATGCCTTTACTTTATGGATCCTAGCCATTTCATTTGTATTGATTATTTTAACTATCTTAGAGCCGCAAGATGTGGATGATAGTTACTCAAAACCTAATGCGGAGGTATGGATCCGCATATATTTATTTCATAAACTTTTAGTGTAGGGTAGAGACATTTATCAGGTAATTTCCAGTTTATAAGAGGCCTTCCCCACCTGATTTTGATCCAGACATAAAATCACCTGATAAATATCTCTATCCTAAACATACGTCGTGCAATTTATAAATTTTTAAAACTTTCTATATTATTTTTTTTGATCCAAGGGTCGATTTTTATCGCCTGAAACGAAAACCTCGCTTTATAGTCAATTTATGTTTTCGTGGATAAATCCATTGATCAACAAAGGATTTCGTCAAACTATTATCGATAAAGACGTCTATGAAGTTCCATTTAGTTACAGAACAAAAAATTGTATTAAAGCTTTCCACAAGTGTCTTTATCAGGATTCTTTCCTAAAATCATTAATTTGCACACTTCGGAAAGAACTTATAATTCAATTCTTTTACTCGATGGGGTGGTCGATCATTACGGCATTTGCTCCACCATACTTTCTCGAGAAAATATTGATATACGTGCAAAATTACCCAAATAACGAAAGCTCTCAAGTGACTGCATATTTGTATGCCGTTGGATTATTTTTGGGAACAGTGATAGCGAGCTTACTTTATCAGCAGGCATTATATATTGGTCGGCAAGTTGGTATGAAAACTAGGGTATGGTGCAATTATATTATTATATTGATCTTATAAAGTTGATTTAATGTATGGAAGATATTCACAAACATATTTGTATACATTTCTCTTTATACTTTACAGTCAATAATAATTGGCGAGGTGTATCTTAAAGCTTTATCTAGAAAGGACACCTCTGGTAGCACTAATGACGAGGAATCTAAAAATAAAACTGGAAAGATAACGAATCTTATGGCTGTTGATGCGTCAAAGGTTGCCGAAATATCAGCATATATTTTCTATAGTAAGACTTTTTTTAAAGTATCTCGTGTATCGAAAAAAATATATACATATATATTTATTTAAATTTCTTTCGACTTCTAGTGTATTGCTTTCCTTTACAGATAATTATCTCTATATCGTACTTATACTCGTTGCTTGGAGTTTCTGCGCTTGCTGGTGTGCTTACAATGATCATTGTTTACCCTGTGCCTACCTTGATTAACCAACGTTTTGAAACTATCCATAAACGTCTTATGGATGCAACGGACAAACGTATGGGTGTGATAAATGAGGTCAGAATTTCAATTTCTAAATTATGTTTCATACTAGTTATATACGCGTTTTGCTTACGATTGATTGTTATTACATTAATAGCTACTTCAAGCCATTAGAATCATTAAGTTTTTTGCATGGGAAGGTCAATTTCGCGCTAAGGTTGTGAAAGCACGAGATAATGAACTTAAAGAAATTAAAGGTCGATTGGTGCAACAGATTTATATGGAAAATATTTGGATGGCGCTACCGCTTGCTATAATGGTTTCCGTTTTCTTGACCTACACCAGAATTCTTGGGAATGTATGTGAATTTCTTTTTTGATAGTATTCTATATAAAAAACATTTAGCACGCTTGTAAATAAAATAAATGATTAATTTTAATCGAAACATATTACAATTTTATTAATATTTGAATTTTTGTACTGTAGGATTTAAGCGCAGCTATTGCTTTCACTTCTCTTGCGCTATTTAATAATCTGCGACATGCGATTGATGACATTCCCGCCATGGTTGTTTCCCTTATTCAAGGTCTGTATAATTAAAAAATAACACTTCAAATAAATTTTAGATTGGTATAAAATAACACTCATCCGTATTCTGCACAAATTAGCACGAGTTTCAGTTAATCGCATCGAAAAATTTTTGAAAGAGCCAGAAGTATCACGCCTGAGTGTTCGTCCCGAAAGCATTGATGATCCAGTTATAGGGTTCAGGGATGCATCTTTCCAATGGCCAGTTGGAAATGAGCCATCGGATGATAATTCGAACGTGACAGCAGATCTATCGAACAAATTCACTTTGCTGAATTTGAATGTTGATTTTCCAGTAGGAGAGTTATCAATAGTCTGTGGCCCTACAGGTTGTGGTAAAACAAGTTTATTGATGGCTTTATTGGGCGAAATGGAATGTTTAGGTGGACGTGTTTTTATGCCAAGGAACATTGTAGATTCAAAAAAGTTAGGAGGTGCACCAAGCGGAATCGCTTATGTTGCTCAAACAGGTATGTGTCGATTATTTTGTTTTAGTTTCTTAGAATACCTGAATAACCAATTATTTCTAATCTCTCTATTACTTCACTAATATAATTCACAGCTTGGCTTCAAAACGCCACTATTCGAGATAATATTCTTTTTGGCCTCCCTTACAATGAAGAAACTTATAATACGGTTTTAAACATATGTGCGCTTAACAAAGACCTGGAAATTTTCGAATCTGGTGATGAGACTGAGATTGGTGAAAAGGGTATAACTCTTTCCGGTGGACAGAAACAACGTGTAGCTTTGGCCAGAGCTGTCTATTCTCAAGCCAAAGTTATCATATTGGATGATTGTTTATCTGGTAGGTCGATACCGTTATATATATACACGTACGTGTCTTATACTTTTTTACATTTCTATTTTATTTATTTGTCTATTCCCATTTTACTTGTATGCGTGAAGCTGTTGATTCGCATACCGCCAAACACATATATGAGCAATGTTTGATGGGAGACTTGATTAAAGATCGGACCCGTATCTTAGTTACACATCATGTGAGTCTTTGCCTTCGCGGGGCAGCTAAGGTGATAGTGATGAAGGATGGCCAAGTGGTTGGTGAAGGCTCTGCAGATAAAATGTTGAGCTCTGGACTTATAGAGGATGTTACACAAGATGCAGACGCTGAAGGAAAAGAAGACTCTATTGAAGCTGTAACTGATGATCAAGGCGAAACTACTCCACAACGCAAGAAAAAAGTAAGCGAAAAAGATGGGAAATTGATGACGGAAGAGTCCAGTGCAGAAGGAACTGTTGAGTGGAAAATCTACAAGCTTTATCTCAAAGCATCTGGTGGATTTTGGTTTTGGATCTTTTTGATGGTGATGTTTATTTTGGCGCAGATATTAGAAGTCGGTCAAGGTTAGACTAACAGTTTGCTTTTGATATTTATTTGTTACAATATAAAATAATAAGTTTGATCTAACGCTGAGGTTGTAAATATAAAATTATAATGTAGATTGGTGGATCCGAGAATGGACCAGAGCTTACACTGATATTAGAGGTCAAATTTCTGGGCTCGTTTCAGCAACCTCATCCATTGTTTTTTCCTGGGGAAGAGGAATCACTTCTATTATACGCGAAAGTCATCTTACGGAAAATTTTTTATCATCACAGTTTATATCGCATTTAAACAATTCTTTGTCGCCTTCTGTTCACAATTCTATGTCTTATAATACGAAATCAGACAATCAGCAAGTCAATGTGGATTATTATATCGGCGTATACGTTTTAATTGGATTATCCTCTACGCTCTTTGCATCGGTTAGGTCATATTATATGTATTGGGGTTCTTTACTTGCGTCCAAGAAATTACATAATGCCATGCTGGATAAAATTTTATCCGCAAAGATTAGATTTTTTGACACCACACCCATAGGTAATGATCATTTTCTGTGTTTCGGGCCTACGTCAATCCTTAATGCCAATTTTAATTTTGAGTAATTATTTCTTTTTATTTAAAAGGAAGAATCATGAATCGTTTTTCTAAAGACATGGAGACGATTGATCAAAACTTGTCACCTATCTTGATGTTCCTCATTTATTCTTTAATCGCTACAACAACTGTGATACTTGTTATTTCCAGTGTAATGCCGACATTCTTAATAGCTGGTTTTTTCATTGCGGCTTTGTATGTAATGATTGGTGCATACTATCTTTCCACATCCCGAGCCCTCAAACGTAAGAAATTCACAATTTCTTCATTACTTAAATGATATAATTTATAACGCGTAAGATTTTCTTTTTTAGGCTTGGAATCCACTACCAGATCGCCCGTATATGCTGTATTTGGCGAGGTAAGTTGAATTTTTATTTTTAAATAGCGAAATCAACATTTCAAATAGGTTAATACAAATTTTTTCATTTAAGACAATCATCGGTGTAGCTACCATTCGAGCATTTGGTGCCGAAACAAGATTAATGCAGAAAATGTTGAATCTGGTAGATGGAAATAATAGACCATTCATTTTCAATTGGGCGTGTAATCGTTGGCTTCATACTCGTGTAGACCTGGCTGGTGGACTTGTATGCTTATCTACAGGTGTTATAGTCATCTACAGTCTTTCAAAAGGGATGGAATCAGGCTTAGCAGGCTTCGCACTTACATACGCATTGAATTTCACTGGGCATATAATATGGGTGCTTCGTATGTATGCCCTGCAAGAGTTGAATATGAACTCAGGTACGGACTTGTTATTTTTTTCCTTTATTCTCCTGTATTCTCCATATCTGATTTTTTTTAATAGTTGAGAGAGTTCAGGAATATTTGGTATTGGAAGAGGAACCTCCAAGAATCATTGATGATCATCGACCGCCTTCTGATTGGCCATCGAAAGGCAATATCCTTGTGGAAAATCTCGTGATGAGATATGCTCCGGAACATCCACCGGTATTAATGAATGTCTCATTTCATATTCGACCTTCGGAAAAGATTGGAATTGTTGGAAGAACAGGTGATAAATTTTTCGTTAATATCAAACATACTTTTAAATCTGGTTCTGATTAACGTTTTTTTGAACTGTATCATATATTTAAAATCATTACTAATTTTTGTTTTAATAAATAGGATCCGGAAAGTCTACATTGGCCTTGTCATTCTTTAGATTCATGGAACCAACTTCCGGTCAAATTATCATTGATGACATAGATATTTCAACTATTGGTCTCTTTGATTTAAGAAGTAGACTTACAATAATACCACAAGACCCTGTTCTCTTTAGTGGAACCTTAAGGTAAGATATTGTAACATTTTACTATTTTTCCGTAGAGTTTGGTGTTGATATTTTTTTAATATGTGCATTCTATCTATTAGGAGTAATTTAGATCCATTTGAAGAATATGATGATGCCGCATTGTGGAATGCACTTCGAAGAGCTCACTTAATTGAAGATAATTCCTTGACGACCCAAGAGACTAATTCAAATTATGATTCTAGTAGCAATCAATTACCAAGTTCACCAAGTAATCCTTCACAAAATCAATTTACATGGAGTTTGGATTCACCAGTTAGCGAAAATGGCAGTAACTTTTCTCAAGGTCAAAGACAATTAATTGCACTCGCAAGAGCATTAGTGCGTAGATCTAGACTGATTATAATGGACGAGGCAACAGCTAGTGTTGATTTTAAAACAGATCGGATAATTCAAGAAACGATACGTCAAGAATTTAATGACGCTACTTTGTTATGCATCGCCCATCGTTTAAGAACAGTAGTGGATTATGATAAAATTCTAGTATTAGGTATTGTTTTCTTATTTATTATTCCTTATTTATTTTCTCGTCCTATAGATAATATTAATCTTCTTACTTTACTCCTATAGATGCTGGGACGGTAGTCGAATTTGATCACCCATATGTACTGTTAAAAGATCCGAAATCCATATTCCGGGGAATGTGTGAACGTAGTGGTGAACTCGGAGAATTGTTGGAAATGGCAAAGAAGAGATACGGACAAGAAATGGGAAATGACGTTTAAAACTGTTTCTTCGATAGAATTCGATTTTAATTTCTTGCTCTAAATCAGAACTTAGATTGCAAAACTTTGGATCAAAAGATTCATTAAAGTAATGTACATATATTAATCAAGTATGATTTATAATAAAATATATAATTACTCGAGACAGGTGAAATGAATACAAAATAACTTTTATTTTTATAATTACTTTTAATTTTTATAATTACTGAGCAAAATTGATAAATACTGTTATAGTTAAAATTTTTACACGATTTGTCACGCAGATCTGGGGAGTAAATTTTCTTCTATATAATTTGAGAGATCGACATCTCATTATTTATATGTAAATTACAGTAGCAGCCTTCTTTATTCGTTTTTTTAAAGGTTCCTAAACAGAAACTGTACTCATGCGATGCTATGCTACAGTTCAGTAAGACGAGTGCTTTCTTATGTGCAAGTTTGAAAGGGGATAAAAAATAAAGCTGAGAATAATCTCTTCTGCAAAGGTTGTTCGTCACGTTATAGTATATAATAAATGGCAACACTATAGAGCTTCCCATTTGGAAAGGTTTTTGAAGCAGTTAGTGTAGTTATGAACTACTGATGTAATTACAAACCACCAGAAGTGGTTACGGACAGGCGAGTTGCAAGTTATCGGGAGTGGTTATGAGGCTTCGGGTTGGGTTGGTTGGGTTACAACTGTAAGAGGCCATTAGTAATAGGATATCAAAATGTATATATTCAATGATTTTCGAAATAAAGAATAATATTCTAACAAGTGCTCTCGATTTTGAGCTTGAAGAATATTGTCGAGTCAATGAATCATCTCATTTGAATTCTTGTAATTCTAAAAGTTCAAGTCATTTGAAGATGTGGATATCAGGAGTCAGACGCCACTCTCGCATGTCACTCATCCACTTAGTCTTTCACTTTTGCTTGACCTCTATTCTCGCTCTTGCCTATACTCACTTGCCCCTCACTTTTTTATTAGGTTTATTGGTAAGCGATGTAGTATCAATGAAAAGCCAATTATTAATGGGTTTGATAAGGGGGAAGGTTGATTATTTATTTGAAGATGACCGATAAGAATAATAATCTAGCTATTGATTATGTATATAGTTACAAAGCATATGTAAAAATAATAATATAATTGTAAAGAATGATGATGAGAATTATAGTAATGATGATTGATAATAATAAAGTTTAATGTGCATTTGTTAAAGTATTAAACATAAAAATAAAGAATCTTTTCTTGATAGAATTATATACATTGTTCTCACCTAATAATAATAGTATATGTATAAATGTGCATTGAAATTCAAAAAGAAAATTGCAATAATAATTGTTAACCAAATGCTATTGTTACAATACATATCTATAAGTATACACTGTAAGTCAAAGTGTTATAACATTAGTTTTATTCAAATTGTTATATTAAATAAATAAAAAATAAATCAAAAATCAAAAAATTATAGAATTCTTATATGAAGCTTTGCTTGGTCATGAAGAGAAGATTTATAATAACTTTAATCAAGAATCTAGTATTAATATTAAATAAATAATAATATATAATGAATTTGACTAGTATTCATTTAAGAGAACATGAGAAATAATAACCAGATATACTGAGAAAACAGATAATGAATTCATTAAAAATGATAATAAGATGGAAATATTTGAGAAAAAATTTAAAAGGATTATTTCTTCTCTTACAGATCATGTTATTAAACTAATATATTATATTATTATTAATAATAATAATAATTAATATATAATTCAAAGATATAATAATATAAAGATTTATAATATAAGATAACTTTCTGATATATAAGAGATTGATTCTAAAGCTATATAAGAAGTTAAAAAATAAGATTTTAAAACTGAGTATTTATTTATATTATCTTAACTATAATCAAAATACTATATATAAATCTGAATCAGAAAGATATATAAAGATAATTAAAGAAAGTATTATTATATTACTATTTATTTTACAAGAAATTCTAATGCATTTTTACAAGAGATAAAATATATTTAATACATATATAAAAGTATATAAATATATAATTCAAGCTTTATATTATGAATTATTTAACTATTTAGTAATAACTTCATATAATAAATTATTAACTAAGTTATTTATTAATAACTACTCTTATTTTATTTATATAAACTACTTTATAATACTTAGAGATAATTTATATATTCAGTTAGAAAAAGAAAAATAATTAATTTTATACTTAAAATAAGAATAATATAATATTAATATTATCTTTACTTTAAAATTATTTGATAAATAGATTGAATAGACTATTATATTAAATAATAAAACTATAAAAATTAGTTTATTAAAAGAACTTATTAATATTTTTGATAATTTTATCATGAATATACCTAAGATATAGAATATTATTAATATATCTTCTATTATTTCTATAGTTTTAAGTCTTTTTTTAATAAAAATAATATTAACTATCAAAAAAATTAATATTAATAAAAAATATAAGTAATATAATTAAAAATTACTATATTTAAAAAAATACTTATTCATTTTATATTATAAATATAATCAGAATTTAAGTAAAAATTATTATTACTTAAAAAATCAGAATTTCTGGATAAATACTATAATACTATATTATTACTTCTTATAAATTTTTTTGTTAATTTGATTTTGATTCTAGAAAAAAAGAAAAATTAAATATTAAATAGAAAATAAAAGAAGAAAAACTTATCTCTATTATAATTAGATAAAAAAAAATCAAGATTTTATCTTTCTTTTTTATTTTTATTTTACTTATTATTATTTTTTGTTATTAAAAAATATTAATTTATATATATTCTTTTTTTCTTTGTTAATGATCAAAAATAATAGGATTCTTACACAAAATTCTTTATATAATTTAGATAATATTATATATTAGAAATTATAAAATATATATTTAAAAAAAAGAATATTAATTATAAAATTTTGATTAAAATTTAATCTATATTTGAATTTTAGAATCTTGCAATTATTAATAATATTAATATAAAAGATAATACTTTTTAATATAATAATATTTTTAATATAACTTATAATATTATATATATAATATTATGAATAGTTTTCAGTTTCAATATTTAGTATTTGTCAATATAAATAAAGAATTATTAAAAGTTTTATTATAAAAAAATAGCAAGAAAAAATTAATATTATCTTTGATTAATTAATTAATAAAGAATAAAAATTTGATATTAAATATTTTGATATAATTTTAAAAAATATATTAATTTAGTATTATTTATAGTATTTTTAAATTTTATAATTCTTGAGCCTAAAGAAGCTTCAAGTAAAAATAAATATATTTATTAGATTATTAATATATTTTTCAAAGATTTTAATTATATAAAAAATAATATATTATATTTAATATATAATAAAATAATTTATTATTATATGAAAAATTACAAGAATAAAAAGTAAATTATATATTAGATTTTAGAATAATAATATATTAATAAGTTAATATGTAGTATACTAATTATTATCTTTTCTAATTACAAACTTTTTAAACTTATCATATAGCTTAATATTTAATTTCTTAATAAATTTAAATAAGTTACTAATTATTAAGTAATATTTAATTACTTAAATTTATTTAAATAGTAATTAAAGTTATGATCTATTTATATATTTAGAAAGAGAATATTTTTATTAGTAATATTCTCATAATTAATAATAATTTATTTACTAATAGACAGGATATTTAAAATTATATAAGTTTAATATTTGTATATTATACTTTAATCTATAAATATATAACTTGATAATATTTACTTTTTTATTTTTTATAACAAAAAAAAGAAGATATAATATATTTATGATATAGTTTTTATTAGATTTTTAGAATAAGTTAGAATTTTTTCAAACTTTTTAGATAATATCTTTAATTAATTTGATATATAAGAAATATTATTTTATTTTTAATAAAACTCTGAAAATATTCAGAATAAAGTTCATAAAAAAAATATAATTAGTCAAATAACTAATTTTAAGAATTTAAAATAGAATATTAAAGTGATATAAGCAAAGTATAACTAACTTAACTTATTAATTTTAGAATTTACTTAGATTAATTAGTAAGTAAAAGTTTATAATCTATTAAGAATTATCAAAAAATCTTTAGAAATTAATTACTAAACTCAAAATAGAATTTAATAGCTTATAGTCAGAATTATATCTTTTATTTACAAAAGTTATATAATTAGTAGAAGTTGATTATATTTACTTATTATGAATCAAAAATTAAAAGAATAATCACTATTATTAAGCAAGATATTTATCATACTATTTTTCAAGTGAAAGCAAAATAAGATAGATAGAATTTAATATTTATAAAGCTAATAAAGAAGAAGAAGACTAATTATATATTAGAAATAAGAATAAAAATAGAAAATAATAATTTTATGCAAGTTTCAGAATTAATTAATATAAAAGTTAAAGAAATTAATTTAAAATTAATTAATATAGAAGTTAAAAAAATTAATAAAGAAGACTTATAATCAATATTATTATCTGAAATTGATTTATCTTCTAGATCTATATTTTAAATATAATATTTAAAATAGCTTGAAATATATAAAAACTTTATTATGTTATCTAGAAAAGTTATTAATAAGCTAATAGAAAAATTATTATAATATATTAATTATTAAATATCAAATTAAGTTCAAGATTGATAATATAATTAATATAAGAGATTAAAAAAATATATATAAATATATTTTAGAATGAATTTAAATTAAATATTATATTAGAATCTATATAATTCAAAGTAAATTATTATTATAACTTTTATATTATCTTTTTTTATTCAATTAAATTTTAAAATACTAATTAAGAATAATAATTAGTATTTATCTAATTAGAAATATTATCTCAATTAATTATAACTTGTGATAATTAATTAAAGAATGATAATTAATTATAATAATTAATTAAAGAATTATAATCAAGTTATGATATTATCTTTAGTCTA